TCAGTGGGAGATATTTACTGTTAGGGAGAAATTTGTTTTATTAAGTGCTAGTTATATAAGAGATTGTTTGTGATAAGTGTTAAGCCTTCCTTTTTAAAAGACTAACTCTGAAAGAATAACTTGTCTGGATTAAGAAATGAACTATCCAGGTTAGCAGGCAAGTGGTAGATGTATTTAATGGGAAGAAAGGCCTTCCATCCACTTGAGAAATATATTTTATTCACTAAGACTATGTGGCTTATGGGAGTTTAGCTAATGGTGATCAAGTAAGATTTCTTAGAACAGATAGAATTTATGAACAAAGTCACTATAATGGTATTGTTTAAATGAGAGCTAATGAGAATGACATATTCCAGAATGAAGGACTAGTCACATCTTGGGTCAGCATGTTGTTTAGTCAAAAATGTATTGAGGCCTGTGATGTGCCTGGGGAGACAAGGTTGAGTTAAAATGAGCCACGTCCTCAAACTGGTCACAGTTTGTGACTTTGGTTCTCAGTCTGACTTTACTGCAAAATCATCCTAGGAGTAGTTTAAGAACAGAGATGGCAGATGACCAGCCCCAGAAATTCTGAATCATTAAGTCCAGGGGGTCTGGATTCTCAAAAGTGCCAGTCAGGAGAGTCTGATAAGAGCAGATTTGGAAAAAAATGCACTGCCAGACGTATTGCACTATATTGGTAGGGGAAGATGCTCTTCAAAATAGCACTTAGATGCTGTGACTCTTGACTCTCTGGGGTCAGCTGGAGTCTCGGCAATCTTTCAGATGATTAAAAACTGGACATAAATGGTCCACTTGCAGGAGAATGAGAAGAAAAGGTAGTGGTTAGGAAGCAGAAGCTCTTCTCTTGGTAAAACAGATAGGTATCAAAGTAGATAAATATCAGACTGATATTCAAGAAAAAAATCCCAGAGAAAGTAATGAAAGCATTCATCTGCACACACTGCAATTATTAAAATTCAAGAAAAATTACACTCTCCTCAAAATTTGTCCTTTTGGGGGTATGATTTTCAATTAATGACAGAATTAATATGGTAAGAAAAACTCTATCTAATGCCATAAAATTAAATTCTTTTTAGTCATATATTGAGTGCCATCAACAGAAGATGCAACTGTAACATAAGAAATGGTTCCCAACATCCAAAGCTCTTCAAAGTTAACTGTGGAGCTTTGTAAAAATACCCACTACTGGGCCCAGAGAGTTTGGGGTCAGAAATCTAGTTTTTTTATTATTTCAAAAAATTATTTATTTATGTATTTAATTTTTTTAATTTTTAAATTACAGTTGATATTCAATATTGTATCAGTTTCAGGTGTATGGCAGAATGGTTAGATATTTACATAGTTTATGAAGTGATCCTGCTACCATATACAGTTATTTCAACATTATTGACTGTATTCCTTAAGCTGTACTTTACATCCCTATGACTATTTTGTAACTGCCAATTTCTACTTCTAATCCCTTCACCTTTTCCACCCAACTCTTTAACCCCCTTCCCATCTAGCAACCATCAGATAGTTTTCTGTATCTATGAGTTTGTCTCTGTTTGTTTGTTTATTTTGTTTTTTAGATTTCACATACAAGTGAAACCATATTGTGGTTGGTATATATGAAACACATGGCAAACACAAACCAAAAATCTACAAAAGAGATACAAGAAATAGAGAAAGGGATCCAAAAACAACATTACAGAAAGTCATCAACCTACAAGATAAGAGAGCAAGGGAATAAGAAAGGAACAGAGAACTACAAAAACCAATCAGAACAATTAATAAAACAGCAATAACAACTTACCAGTCAATAATTACTTTAAATGTGACTAAACTAAATGCTCCAATCAAAAGATGAATGGGTAAAGAAAAGGTGGTACATATATACAACTGAATATTATTTAGCGATAAAAAAGAATGAAATCTTACCATTTGTGACAACATGGATGAACCTAGAGGATATTACACTAAGTGGAATAAGTCAGACAGAGAAAGAAATCTATAACTTTAAAAATACCACAGGTGATTATAATTTTCACCCACAGTGGAGATTTCCTCTGACTTATTGCTGGATGTGGAAGAGGTAGTCATATTAACAGCTGGCCTTGCCATGGGCACCAACCAAAAAAGAGGCAGACTATTAAAAACCTTAGATGGATCCACAGAAACTTATTTCCCTCACATTCTGCCTTCAGCAGCCACCATTGGTAATCAAAACATTTAAATTAGGCTTTGTTTTAGTCAAGAGAAATCCCTGCCATATATGGAATACTAACTGATCCAGAAAGGAAACCTATCATGTAGGGTGGTACAGTTATTATTTTTCATTTGTGTAGAATATGAGTTCTAAAATAGGTCACAGACATTGTCCAATCAGATCTATTTTTTCCCCTTGCAGATAAAAATCCAGAAATTAAAAAGGAATTTCTTAAGGCAAAATTGGGAAAAACCTCAGAACTTCAGACTCTGTCTGGTGGGATTTGCTTTGCGGAATTCTGCTACCTACAGATGAGGAAACAAAGGCTCATGACAGTGAAGTGCTCTGCTCGTGAAAGACTATAAATATTGTGTGTGTGTGTGTGTGTGTGTGATATTCACTGTAAATTAGTTTTTGACTTTTTGGCTCCTCTGACAAGGAGAATAGAGATCCATTCTGACCATGGTGGCCACACATAGTGGAGCTGACTATATTTTGGTTGCATGAATAGATAAAGTACAAACCCCAATTCCACTCCCCATTTGTGAGAAAGGGAGTTAACTAGGTGATATGCCCACCTGGGAAACCCCTATCTGAAGTTTAGAAGGGTAGCTGGGGAACCCTGATAGGCCACACAATTCCTATACCATAGTTCAATCATTTACTTATCAGTAACGCTTGCCAAGGGCCCATCAATCACAGCCTCTGATTGCCCTCTGAGAGTGGGAAAAAATAGCAGGCAGGCATATGTCCTGGGCCCCTTTCCCAGTAATTCCTGTCGATTGGAGGCTCCTACAGATATAAACCCTCTTTTTCTGTGGACCAGGGAGGTAAACTGAGGGGCTAAACATTTAGTGAAATGAAATAATGAGTTTATAGTTCCTTATCTCCCACAATGAACAAACTTAGACCCAAAGCATTGACTGACAACTGGAAGAAAACTTAGATGTGGGCTTTTGCGCCAGGGTGTTAACCCAGGTGTTATTTTAACTGCAGACAGGAAAGGTTACCTCTAAAAAACCCTTGAGACAATTAAAATGACTAAACTAAGAAGCTTTCCTCCAGGTAACACAAATGACAAACAGACACAGATCAGATAAAAATGATATTCTCAGAGTCCATGCCTTCCTGTCTTTCTAACTTACTAGCAAATGAGTAATTGTCATTTTCCAGGGAAAAAGAGAAGCTCAGTTTCTCCTAGAGACAGACTCTAACCTAGTGGCTACGAGTCCTGGCCTCATTAGCTGTGTGTCGTTCGGCACATCACATCATCCCTCTGTGCTTCAGTTTCATTACACTGTATACATTTGCACACATATGCACACACCTGCTCTATGGCACGGTACTAATTAAGTGATCTAATGCTTAAAAACAACTTGGAAAATTGTCTGGTAAATAGTAAACAATAAAAGTTGTTATGATCCTAATGATACAAATATTATTAATGAGCTATGTCACCTTTGCTGCTTTTATTTCTTCTATTACGATGAGATATCTTGAGACATATTTGGCCATCCCTGTGCCATAGAAGGGTTTCTGAACTGAACTAATCCTACCTAATGATGTTTACTTTGACCTCACATTAAATAATAAAAGTATTATGCCGTTAAAAACCATCCTTCTGCAATCACATTGATTCCAACTTAAGTTCAGCCTGAAGGGAAAAGAGCATGTTTGTGTAAAAACTGCCTGGAAGAGTTATTATTCTCCACACTGTTGTGGATCATATCCCAGTTGCTTTTGAATTTGTTTCCCATGTTATGGCCTTGCAATCAGAAAATAATGATAGCAGGCTGCAAGAAAACTAAATTATACATGCTAATGTGAAAAGTGGATAAGATTTACATTGTACTCTATTGAAAACAACTGAGGCAAAGTGCATAGTTATGAATATGTAAAATAAACTTAATCTTTGAATTATGTTCATCATCCAAGATGTGCTTAAAGTCTTTGAAAAGAAAGTAAGTTAAACATTTTCATTGGAAACATGAAGTATAATAGGTATTTTGGAGGAGAAAGTTGCTAAGGTTCCTTCCCAAAGGGTTTATCAGTGTCTTTTGGGGATTCCAGATGGACAGAGAAAAATGTGTCACTGAGAGGCCCAATCAGAGGTAGGAAGTTTATTCCTGGCACCTGAGAAGACGACTTTGGGCGAAATCATTAAGCAAGCTCTTTTGGCAAGAACGGGGACATAGGGTCACGGAGCAGCAGACCTCTATACAGCCTTCACTTGGATGATCCCAAAATACCATAACCAGCTGAGCCTCCCACCTGTCAAAGCTCTTCCTCTTTTGTTCTTAATTTATTTTGGTACCATGGGTGTCGTTGCAAATCTGATGAAAATTAGAAATAATCCTCCCAGAAAAATGCGCACACACACACACACACACACACATATACTTCTGTATATTAATTTGTGGTTTCCNACACACACACACACACACACACATATACTTCTGTATATTAATTTGTGGTTTCCATAGATGCTCTCATGTAAAACATTTCCCTTTTAGTGGAGTGATTTTATGTTCTCTTCAGTGAATGAATCAACTAACTTTTGAAAACAGATTTCACCAGTTTCCTTTTTAAAAATGTATTATTTAAAATTCTGACTTTTAACTCTCTCAAAAGATTAGATCATTCACTTCTTTCGTTTTACTGTGATCAGCAATTTCAAAAACCTTTGTAGATGTTTCTGAGACAAGTTCTGGGGAATTTTTATTTATGTCTGATAGGAAAGTGCAATAGGCATGGATGTATGCCTTCTTGGAAATATTTTCTTATAATTTTATGAGGAAATAAACAAATGCTGTAATATTATTCCCATATTGGTTTATATTAAATAAACATTGATACCCCACAGAGTCATGATCATAATTCAGGCTCTAACCCCCAAATATATTGTTTAGGGAGAAATAAATGTACAAATTTACAGAGTTACTGTAGCCACAGAGGAAAAATTTCAAAAATATGGAGAGAAAAGCCTTTCAAAACTCACCCTCAGTGGAGACATAAACAACAATGTTGATAAGTCAATCCATACATTTCTAATGTCTGTACCTTATATTTTAAAGTTAGAAAGAAACTTCCTGAATATTTGATGTAAAAATTTGGTTTGAAGAAGTTTGGAAATTAATGTAAAGCTAACCTTAAGTCATCTTTTACTCTTAGAGTAAAATCCTTAGAAAAGTTTGTAATAGTTTATAGTAATAATTTATCATCTTATTTTTTTCTTTGAATCCAATCATCACAGACCAAGAGTAGTCAAGTTTATAATAATTTATTATGGTTGCATATCATTTGTCATATATAATAAATTATAGAAACCATAGCATCTTTCTAAACTATTTAATATACCATATTTACTTCCTAATGCTCACTGCAGTAACTGTAAGAAATTTAATTAGATTATACTTTAGCATTAGTTACAAGATAAAAAAAATTATAAATTTTTTCACAGTACTTTGGATTTCTGAAGGAACCATCATTTTAACTTTTGTGCAACCAATTTGAAAACATAAAAACCCTTTACTAACCAGAAGATGGGGTATGGCTTTGCTGAGCTGCTGAAGGTACTGCAGCTCCTTGACTTTGTACTCACACCCATGTGGTGTACTTTTCAGGCATCGTAATAAATGCAAATAAATCATCAATTACCAAGCTCTAGAAATCTATACCAATAGACAACATTGAAGCTTGGAGACATCTTGAAACTTCAAATAAAAATTTCAGTAAACAACTGGAGCATGACATTCTCTCTCCCTGTTTCCCTCTCCCTCCCCCTCCCTCCTCTCTCTCCTTTCCCACTTTGGTTAAGGAAAAAAATAAAAATAGTTCAGGTTGGATTTAAGTCCCAGGGCCCGACAGAGAGCCCCTGGCTGCAGCTCTTCCTGGGCATCTGCCTTCCTCGGTTTCAGTGCTCATTGCATCTGTCCAGGCTCTTCTCCTGACACCAGCATCAGTCCTTTCGGGCCCCGAGGGTTTTCAGATCCTTGCAGAAAGCATTTCGCTCTGCACTGTCCCAGCTCAGGCGTGAGATTGGTTGGAGTCCTTGTCACTAGTTGCTCTGTCCCTTTCCAGCCTGGGAGTCCTGAGGAGAAGCTGGCAGGGAGCAGCGCAGCGCCCGTGTCAGGGTCCCACACTCACTCGGCCTGTCCATGTCCTTTCTCGGGTGACGTCCTTGTCCATTCTCCCGGCCTCAGTGCACTTTGATGGAATATTTCCGCAGCTTCAGGAACTGGAAAAGCTTGTCTTTTGTTCTTTTCTTCAGGGCCATCAGGGCCCGTGTTTTCTCCTCCAGGTCTTGATCTATGGCCAAAATGATCTTGGCTCTCTCCTCTGCTTTCTTGTCCCCAGAGTTTTTGAAGAGCCTCTGTAGTGACTCTTGGTCGATGTTTTCAAAGATGTTGCCCACGGCTTTCTTGCGAGAGGCTGTGTCGAAGTGGTAGCCGTGGATGGATGGGCTGACCCGCAGCGAAGTGGACATGGTGACGGCTTGGTGGCGTGGCTTGGCTTTCATAGATGTGAGGATCTTGGGGAACTCGGCTCCCAGGCGCTCCAGAGAGTCTGTAGCAAAATCATTCCGGGACTGCTATTTAAAGCCTGAACAAAAGCTCCGGGCTCAGATTACACTGGTGACATCAGAGTGATCTCAAGGAAGAAAAATCACACACAGGTTTAACAGTTGAGTTGCCAATATCCTGTTCTTGTGCAAAATGTTACCAAAAGCTGCATTCAGTGATGGGACGTGGAGGTGGGGGTTTCTTTTTATCTCATCTGCGGCAATAGGATTATAGAGACTTGGGCTCTTCTTATAAAAAAAGCAAAAAAAAAAAAGAAGCTGAAACCAGGAAAGTGCAAAGGTAAGACACAAACCGGGTGGCTTAAACTCTCAGAATCTTTCCAGACAACTGACACAAAAGTTCTTCTAACGCAGGGAAGCTTCATCTGCCAGAGAAGTTATTAAAGTGTACTCCAAACCTTTGTGCCCTTTGGACATCTCTCTCCAGGGCCACTCCTAAGCTGTTCAGATAGCTTAACAATTAAGGACATCCGTTTGGACTAAGTGTTGATTGTAGCTGGGAGTTTACCTACAAAATGCTGACATGGCACAGCCTGGAACTGTGACCTTTCAGGGACTGTGTACCAGAGCTAATAGGTACTCACTGAATAAAAGTGTAAGTTAATAATAATAGCAATAGCAATAGATAATATCCCTTAGGCTTGTGTGTATATCAACAAACTTCTACTTTAAAACAGTAAAAAAGATTATCAGGTGCTTTATGTACACAGTACTGAAAAGGAACAAACAACTTGACTTTTTCTTTTAATATTTATTTTGGCATCACCCAGACATAAAACAACACCTTCTTTGGAATAATTTAAATTCGTTCTTTTCACCTTCCACAGTATTCAGCCAGCCAGGGTCCCCACAAATGTATGGAACACTTATATTCAGCCAACTGCTATATATCAACTTCAAAGGGCCTCAGAAACTTCTCTTCATGGACCTTCTGCCTGATCCACTTTCTAATACTCTAAGAAGTTGGTCTGGTCTTCATTTTCCTCTCATCTAGTTGAGTCAAATATAAAAAATGCACAAAGGGAGAGTGTGGGGAAGGCACCACACTAGAAAACTAAGTTCACACCCATCTTATATATTCATTCATTCATTTATTCATACACTCATTTATTTAGTCAATATCTATTAAAGGTCTACTTTTACCAACAACTTTTCTAAACATTGGAAATATAACAGTAAACCAAATAAAAGAAAACAACAAAATCCCTACCTTACCTTAATGGAGTTTACAGTCTACCTGTAAATAGATAATAGAAAGATGTACATTTATAATTTAGGTGATGCCAGGAAGTAATAAATAAAGCAGGATTGTATAGAGAGGAAAGTGGGGTTGAAGTTTGTGTAGGATATTCAGAGGCAGCTTCTCTTAATGAGTTATTATGCAAAGATTCCAAGGAGGCAAGAGAGTAAGCTGTGCAGGCAATTGGAGGAATTGTGTTGTAGATAGAGGAAACAACAAATGCAGAGGCCCGAAGATAAAAGTATCTTGGAATGCATGAAGAACAGCCAGGAGACCAGTGTGGTTGGGGCAGAGAGGCCAGAGGAGAGTGGGAGGAGGGAGGTGGGGGTGAGCCAGCAGTGAGAAGAGGGCAGAGGCAGGCTGAGTACAAACTCATCGGCTTTTTCATGGATTTAGCATTTACGCTGTAAGAGATGGGCAGCCTTTGGAGAATGTGGAGCAGAGAAATGACATGATTTTACTTGTAATTTTAAAAAATGTCTGACATTTCTTTGTAGAGAATAGCTTTTTAGGGAGACAACAAGAACATGGGGAGCCTAAAGACTAGTTAAGACATTTCCAAAATGATGCAGGCAAGAGATGATGAAGGAAGTTGCGCAGGTGGTGAGAACAGATGAAGGTTCAGTCAAAGGGTGGCCGATGTGAGGAATGAAACACAGACAGGAGCCCACGGCGGCCTCTTCCAGAGGAATGCTTCCTTGAAAGACATTTCTATGTGGGTTTATGTCCATCTCACCAATCATGGCAGCTGATGCTTATTCCAGTTTTTCCATGGACAAACCCTATGTTCTATGGCCTACGACTACAGGTTTACTGGCATATGAAGCAAACCTTGAGAAAGCCCATCTCCCTCACTAAATACAAGAAATACTTTTATGACAACAAGGATTTTTACTGCGTTTATTAAGTGTCAAGAACAGTGCCAAGAAATTTACATAACCCATCTTAATTGTTGTCATACTCAAGACTTCACCAACCTTCTCATGCTCTGCTCTTTCTTGAGGTCATTCTTATGTTGTCTACCTCCAATTTATTGATTATTCCTAAATTTTAAATTCCAGTCTACCCTTATTCTCTGAGGTATAGACTCACTTATTTAACTAATTCATCAAAACAGATATATACATATATGATACTAATGTCTGCTTAGCTGTGAAAGTCGGAAGTCCAGTATAATTTTTGATATCTCCTTTTCTTTCTTCCCTTATCTAGATATATCCTCCATATATATCTAACACCAAGGGCTGTCAATTCTATCCATAAAATATTTAAAAATATATTTACTTTCCACTTTACTGCCTCTGTGTAGATAAGTCTCCATATAGTAGATGCTGGGATGCACAACCAAGAACTCCCTGTAAGATTTCCCCATATGTTCAGCTGTCAGCCCCCCTCAGGGATTGCTACCACTGAACAAAGTCACCCCCTTCCTGGTGCAGCTGTATCTAGTGACTGATGGACATGAGGGCATGAAAACCCACATCCCTTCTCTAACTTGGAGGGGTCATCTACACTTCAGAGCATCCTTTAGGGTCAGCTGAGACCTCCTCCTTCCCAATCCTGTTTCTTTCCTATCTGCGGGCATGGATCCCAAGAGCACTCCCTAATGAATCACCTGCCTGGTGATTTCCACCTTGGAGTTTGCATCCTGGAAAGCCCAGTCTGTGACACCCCATCTTCTCTCACCTGGACAAAGACCATTCTCTACAAAGCATCCAGAGCAATATTTTCTAAACAAGCAATCTGATCAGACTACTCTTGCTAGTACTTTTAGGATAAGCCCCAAAATCTTAACATAACCTTTTTGAGCATGGTCTGCTCTGGTCTCTGACTACTTCTGTAGCATCCTAATTTGCCACTCTTCCTCCATGCCTTTATGTCTTCCAATTCCTTAAATGCACCATGTTCATTCCTGTCCTGGGTCTTTGCACATATTTTTTTTCTTCCTGGAAAGTTCTCTACTTTTTATTTAGTGAGGTAACTTTTATTCATTCATAAAATGTCAACTAAAAGCTACTTGCTCAGAGGCCTTCCCTGATTCTTCTAGACTAAATCGGGTATCCTTGCCAATGTACCCTTTACTATGCCTTGTTACAGATTTCAAACATATATTTATATTTATAATTACTTATAAAGTCTATCTCCACCAAGAGCAGGGATCAGATCTACTTTTCTCATTAATGTGCCTAAAGCTCCTGAATCACTTAAATGTTTTCATATTAATGTTCAGTAACAAAGTATACAATTCTATTTAATTCTCATAATAATCCTATGAGGTTGGAACTACTGTAATCCTCTTGTTACAGATAAGAGATTTGAAGCAATGACAGTTTTACTCCCTAAAATGTTCATGTTCTAATCCCTGGAACCTACCAATATAGGCAAAAAGGAACCTTATATTGCAAATGGGACTTATGGGGAGAAGGAATTTTACAGGTGTAAATAAGTAAAAAATATGAGATGTGAAGATTATCTTGATTATTTGGGTTGTCCCATGTAATCATAAGAGTCCTCATAAGTGGGAGGCAGGAAGTCAGAGGGGAGAGAAAATGCTCCACTTCTGGCTTTGAAAATGAAAGAAGAATCCAGAAGCCAAGGAATGTAGGCAACCTCTAGAAGCTAGCAAAGACAAAGAAAGAAATTCTCCCACAGATCCTTCAGGAGAAACGTATCACTGCAGACCCATTTTAGACATCTGGCCTACTGAACTGTAAGATAATAAATCTATGTTGTTTTAAGCCTCTAAGTTTGTGGCAATTTGTTACACTGGCAATAGGAATCTAACACACTCTGCAAACCCTTCATCTACAATAAGACAACTTGAACCCAGGGCTGATTCCAAAGCCTATATTTTAAACTCTATGCTGCATTGGTCTCAAATCAACTGCAAGCTCTGTCTTCAAAAAGCCTGACTAATGCTTCTACATGACATTGAGCAGTTCCCCTTGAGTACTGCCTAAAAGCCTTCAGATGAATTTGAGAGATCAAGGCATTTCAAAATTGTTTAGAGGACAAGACCACCCACAGGAAAACAATGTTGGTTTCTGTTTCCCAGAAATGCGACATAAGCCCTAAAGTTATGATTTGCTGATGCTCTTTGCCAAAGGTAACTCCACATGTGCTTGAAAAGCTTTTAATTGTTGTCACTCTGTTATTTCCCTTCTTTGTACAAGTATTTTCAGTGAATGATGTGGACAACAGGATCTAAACAATTTCTAGCAAGGACTCACAAATTGCATGTAGTTAGGATCACATCAAGAAAGGGACCTTACAGAATTTTGGCTTTTCTGCAGTAAAGACAGGAAATAATAAAGGCTATTCAAAAGAAGCAGCTTCTGGGTTAGAGTATTTTCTTCTGGGCACCAGTTTTCACCAGTATTGTTTTAGCATACAAAGAGATCAACCGTCTATTTGCCAGTAGTAAATGTGCTCAACTAGTTTTGTGTCTGATGAAGAGATTTGAGAAAACAAAGGGAAGGAAGAAGACAAACATTTATTAAGTGACTTTTCAACCTAATTTTCTTCATATACTATCTAAATTACTCTCACAATACTACTGGAGATAGATATTATTGACCTCAGTTTTGGCCATAAACAAAGAATTGAGCTAAACAACTTACCCAAGGTAAGTGGTGAAAAATGAATTGATTTCCAAATGTATATATATTTTTTTATTTGCCAAATCTCCTCTGGGGGGATTATTTGATTCT